TTCCCTTGAATTTTCATGTGATCCTCCACACCATTTTTCTATGTCCTCTTTAGCATTCATATATGATAGAATACATAATGCCCTTGCTTTTCTGAGTAATAATTAAATTAAAGAAAGGAAAACCATTTTGATCTACACTATTATGTGATACTTGATATAAATATGTTAAGGACGTGTTTATGGTAAACACAAATTTTAAAGAAAACATATTATGAAAATCCTTAATAAATATCCATAATTAAAGAAGTCCAATTATAGGCATAACATTTGTGAAACAGTCATCATTGCTTTATATAAAATTCAGCTTTTGCCTAACTTAATTTTCTGTCCTAAACAGATCAATATAATCTGAAAAACTATTGAGAGAAAATGAATTATTATTAATGATAGATTATATTCTTAAATATGTCTATTTTAAGACTTAAAAACAACATATATATTGTATAAATATCATAGTAATGAACTTCTTCTGCATTATGGGAATATATTCTCACCCAAGTCATTTACCTATTTCCTGGTTTAGATTTAACTTAATTTTAGTACAGGAGACTCTAAACCACAGCAAATTTGAGAAGGTTATTCTCTGTTCCTTATGGAAAACAATTTTTTTGAATTTCAAATTTTTATTGATGTACATATTTGTACCTATTTAAACCATTTGTTAAGAGCAGTATTTTTTATTTCTGGAGAATTTCTGCTGCAATATATTAAAAAAATAAAGTCTCTTAAGGGCAAAACTCTACTGTTTTAGGATTATCAAAACCTTATTTTTTAAAAAATGATGTCATGATTTGTCTTTCTCATCTCATCATGGTTTATGAGAACGGATTCCAGCTCTAATATGCACTTGCTGTTTCCCTTCGTTCACATCATTCCAAAAATGAAGTTTTTATAAAATTCTTAATAATCAGCCCAGAATGATTTATATATTATCAGGGGAAATATTAAGGGCAGGTATTACTTACACAGCAGATATTCCCAAGAATAATTATGAATAAGTATTTTGTTTTTCAAGGTAACCCAATAAACTAGACTATTATCTTCCACCCAATTATGATAGTTTCAAAAGTTATTCCTATTAGAAAAATTGTGATTCTGATGTATGCTCCCTTCTCAGTCAAAACCATGCTTACTAATGGGGAACTCTAAAGTCACACCAAAAATTTTTACAAAAAATTTCAGCATTATATACTAAAGAAATCAATTATTTTTCTGAATCAGTATTATATGCCAATAATTTATGTTGCAAATTAGATAAGGAAATATGGCTCATATTATTAAAAAAGCTCCAAATGCCATTCTTGAACTATTTGCGTACTTCCCTATAGATATTTTGTACTCTTGATTATTTCTCCATATCTTTAGCAAAGATTGTTCTCTAGATTTGCAATTTATCTTCACATTCACTTCCAGTGATGATGTATTTTGCCTATTAATTGATACCCCTTTTTTCTTTATATCTTGAAATTATTGAGATTTCTAGGAGAGAATTATGGGAAACAATTTTTAAAAATTATTTTTTTAAGAGGATAGCAAAGGCAGCAGAATACAACAGTTACTAATATGGCATTGTGTAAAAATGTGGATATGTAACCGATGTGATTCTGCAATCTGTATTTGGGGTAAAAATGGGAGTTCATAACCCACTTGAATCTAATGTATGAAATATGATATGTCAAGAGCTTTGTAATGTTTTGAACAACCAATAAAAAATTATTTTTTAGTTGTCAATGAATCTTTATTTTAATTTTTTTTGTATGTATGTTTGTGCAGTGCTGAGAATCGAACTCAGCACCACTCACATGCTAGGCAAGCACTCAATCACCGAGCTATAGCCCCAGCCAAGGAAAACAAAATTCTGATGGAAAATGTCAAGTAAGATCCAACTAAATCCTCAAGAAAGAAAATTAGACAAGACCGGAGAATGAAAGTTCACTTTAGTAACATATTGTGGAAAAATATACTTCCTGTCATATGCCATGACATTCTTGTCATATCTTTTAATATGCATTTTAAATAAAGTTTTAAAGAAGCTAGCTACCTTCATTACGTAGAAGACAGGGTTTCACATGAAAAGATTATCCATTACCACCATTCTGCTAGTAACCTGAAGTACGTTTCTAAGGTGGAAACCAGAATTGTTAGTTTTATTTTAGCAATGAAAATGAAGAGGATTAAGGTGCTTAAGAGACAACTTCAGTGTTGGATGTTTTGGCAATGCTTTCTCTATAGTTGCAGAATATAGTTTGGAAGCAGATCAAGGGGAGTGCCTAGCAGTTTAGCCAGTCTTTTTAGATTGGTTTTAATTACTGTAGCTATTGTAGCAATGCAGCAAGTGTATAAAATGGTACAGTAACTACTAGCCCTAGGAAATGTTATGACAGAGGCTTATGCTTTGAAAACTGGGCTTCCTGAATTTTGTGTAGCTTCTTTTGTATTCTTACTATTTGTGAAGTCTTTTAAAATCCAGGGCAGTTAGGCAAAAAATAGGAAGGAAGAAGTAAATCACTGCAAATGACACAATTTTATAACAAAAACTGTGAAGAATCCAAAAATGTCTAGTAGAGCTAAACAAATTAGTTCAGCACATTTTGATAATACAAGTTAAATGTACAAAATCAATTATACTTCTATACATCAGCAAAAAACAATATGAAACAGAAGTCAATTTATTATTCCATTTATAGGATGTAAAGAATAAAATATTGAGAAATAAATTTAACCAAGGAAGTGATGTAAGATTTATATAGTGAAAACAACAACATAAGTGCTAAGAGAAAGAGAAACTAAATAAATGGAAAGACACTTTGTGTTTATGGAATGAAAAACTTATTAATTTTAATCTGGTAATATTTTCCAACTTGATATGCATGCATATTTACTGAAATCTTTACGAAAACTCTTGACTACATTTGTTTAAGAAATGGACAAACTGGTCCTAAAATTCATATGTAATTGCAAGGAACTATGAATGATCAAGAGCAAATTTGGAGTACTGATACTTTTAGATGTTAAAGCTTACAATGCTATGGTAATCAAACATGTGATAATAACATAAAGGTAGAGATCAATGATACAGAATTGAGAATCAAAGACATAAATCCATATATCTGTTATATATTGCTTTCCATACATTTGCTGTGATCAATAAAGTGAAAACCACAGAGTATGGAAAATTTTCACAAATAATCTGACAATGGACTTATATAAAAATTAGAGAAATTCCTTAAAAGTTAATGCTAAAATGAAAACTCAACAAACAAATGAACAAATAATTTGAATAGCAAACAAGCCACATGAGGAGATGAAAAATCACTAGAGCAAAACAAATCAAAATCACATGAGTTTTATCTTCCCAAATCACCCTAAAGAGATGGCTATGATAAATGATAGAGAATAACAATTGTTGGCAAATATGTGGAGAAATTTTTACCTTCATACATTGATGATGGGGGTATAAAATGTTGAAAGCACTTTGAAAACAGTCTGAAGGTTTTCTAAAAGTTAGACAATTATTATAAGACCTAGTGGTTTTACTGTTAAATATATACGCAGAAGAAATGAAAACATGCATCTGCATTAAAACTTGTACAGGAATATTCATAGCAGCATTGTTGATGACTGACAAAATGTGGAGATAATCCTAATGTCCATTAAAAAACAAAATGTCTTATTTTGATGAAATGGAATATTATTCAGCCATAAAAGTTAATGAAGTAATGATGCATGTTATGATATAGATGAACCTAAAAACATTGTGCTAAGTTAACGAAGCCCAACACAAAATGGCATATGCATTTTGCATGATTCCATTTACATGAAGTGTCCATAGTTGGCAAAAATTTCATAGAAGAAACCATTACCTGGGGCTGGAGAATGGCATGTGGGTTAGAAGGAAATTGGGGAAGACTGCTAAGTGGTACTTTTTATTTGGGTGGTTAAAAATGCAATGGAATTACATAGTGTGATTATGATTATCCAACATTATGAACATAATTAATATTTGAATTGTACACTTTAAATGATTAAAACTGAGTTTTATATTAATGGTAGTTCAGTGGAAAAAGTTTTACTGCTTTCATGAATATCACAATAGAAAAAATAAAGTATTATAACATTTCACTAACAACAGTTTTGGAGATATAACAAACCATGATCATCTCTGAAATCTTTTTATTTAGATAAATCCAGTAAAATTTTGTGCACACACATGTACTTAAAACTGCCCTTCTGAAGTAAACATTTATATTTCTTTGAAAATGTGATTACAGTTTTATTTATACTTTTCCCAAGCTACTAATAAAATTATCTTTGGGAAACATAACTAAGCATTACACGAAAATAGTTCACATTTTTATAAAAGCCACCTAAAGAAACATAAGAATGTTGGATGAAACTCCTTTTGTAATTCTTCTACTTTGTGAAATTATCATATGTAGGAATAAAATTCAATTCCAAGATTTTAACACATAATTTACACAAAACAAATAATGTATTTTTATACATTCCCCTACTATAATCATGAAATTTATAGATGAAGTTTTCATGTTAGGCATTTTGTAACTAATAATCAGTATGAAGACGTTCTGAAATTAATGGTGCTAAAGAAAAGCAGTGTTTATAAAATATCTGATAAAAATATTTCTCTATTATCATTACAACACAAAGGTACATGTTAACAAATTATGAAAGTATATAGGGCAGTGTTAAACAGTACTCAGAGACTCCTCTTTTTTTCCCTCTTCTTTTTTGATCTCTTTGTTTTCAGCTTCTTTTCCAACTTCAGCCTTGTTTTCCTTTTCCTTTTCATCTCCTCCATTTTTCCCATCCCCTTTTCCATTTTCTTTTCCTTCTTCTTCCTCTTTTCCTTCTTTTTCCTCTTTTCCTTCTTCTTCTTTTCCTGCTTTTTCCTCTTTTCCTTCTTCTTTTCCTACTTTTTCCTCTTTTCCTTCTTCTTCCTCTTTTTCTTCTTCTTTTGCTTCTTCTTCTTTTCCTCCTTCCTCATCTTTTCCATCTTCTTCACTGTCCTTTCCATTTTCTTCCTCATTTTTACCTTCATCTTCATTTCTATCTTCCTCCTCTTCTTCATCTTCTTTGCCTTTTCCATCTTCCTCCTCTGTTTCATCTTTCTCTTTATCATCTTTTTCTTGTCTATCTTCTTCCTTTTCACCATCTTCATCATCTTTTCCATCTCCTTTCTCTTTTCTGTCTTCCCCCTCTCTATCATCTCCTTTGCTTATTCCATCTTTGTCCTCCTTTCCATCTTCTTTTTTCCCTTTTCCTTCTTCACCCTCTTGCTCTTCACCCTCTTGTTCTTTTTGGTCTTCCTTTGTTCCATCTTCTCCTTTCTCATTTGTATCTTTGTCCTCATTTCTATCTTGTTCTTTCTCTTTTTCATCTTGGTCTTCTTTTCCATCTTCTCCTTTTTCTTCTTTATTTTGATCTTCATCTTTTGGATCTTTTTCATCTTTTTTTCCTTCTGCTGCCACTGTTTCTTTCTCTTCTTCGTCTTCTTTGATATTTTCTTCTTTTATTTCCCCAAGGTCTTTTGCAGGAACTGGTACCTAAATTTGTAGTAAAGAAAAAAAAAATAGTATTTTGGAACTGTTTCTCCCACCTACTTAAATCAGATTGTATCTATTTCATGGAATAACTAATACTTATTTTACAACAAAGTAATTCACCTATAGAAAATCATAACATAGGCAAATATTCTAAGAAATTAGATTAAAGCCACACAAACACCCACAAATAAAAAGCTGCAACAGTAAATTTGGGAAGGCTTATTCATATAAATATTTCTCATTACAAATATGAAGAACAAAATAAACACAGGATTACAGAGTCATTCTGTGTTAGTAATTCTCACTGAGTAGCATGCATGTAAACAAAATATAGTCCTTGGGAAAATGATACATTTTGTTTTTATAAAGAAGAAATTTGTGCTTTTTAAAAATAAAGATTATTGAAAAATCCTATACACTTACAGAAGATATTCCACATATATATTTATTTTGTAGATTTGATCATTATATCCCATTTTCAGTATTTTACTACAATATCTGAAAATGAATGATGCATTAAATATGCAAAAACCTATTAAAACACTTATATAATGTCTTAATTTGCAATCTATAGGGAAAATAAAGGGAATTTACAGGCAGGGGATTTTTTGGAAAGGAATTTACATATAGTCCATATGCTGACAAAAGCAAGAGAGGATTGGCCTGCATTTAATAAGAGGGTCATTATATTAGTACCAAGTCATGATCACTACATTAGTACCAAGTCATGATCATTACATTTTCCAAGTAATACCAATACTAGGCCACTTCTCCCATTGCCAGTACCTTTAAATTCTCATATTTTAAATTATCATTTCTCTTTAGTTACTATTAATTGTAGAATCATTATTCATTCAATGTTTCTAAACTTTTAATATAAAAGGCAAATAATATTTCTTTCCATTGCATCCATTTTCAAGCTTTCAAGTGGATAAATTTGTTAACATTGTAAGATACCTCTATAATTTTGGCTTCTCCATTTTCAGCATTTTCATTTTTCTTTTCTTCAACAACTTCATCTTGTTTGTCTTCAACAACTGCTTTGGCATTTGTATCTGTGTTTTTTCCCATCATATCATTTTCGGTAATTTTCTGTGCAATGACACAAAAAGAATAAAAATAAATAAATACATAATTTAATCAGAATGTTGATTAAATTATGTATTTATTTATCATTCCTTCATCAGCTGTAGTGGTAATTTAGGGAAAATCTTTAAAATGCTACATATAAGCCCAATGTCAACGAAATTAATATAACACACTTTGTTTTATTGAAAACGTAAAGTAGCATATATTTTTAAAATGACTTAAATCAGGAATGCTTTATCAAGAATGTTCTATGGGGGCTGGGGATGTGGCTCAAGCGGTAGCGCGCTCGCCTGGCATGTGTGCGGCCCGGGTTCGATCCTCAACACCACATACCAACAAAGATGTTGTGTCCGCCGAGAACTAAAAAATAAATATTAAAAATTCTCTCTCTCTCTCACTCTCTCTCCTCTCTCTCTCTTTAAAAAAAAAAAAAAAAAAAAGAATGTTCTATGCCTGGCTATATAAGTAGTAGAAAGACCACTGGGTTAAAGGGCCAGAACACCTGTGCTTGAATTGTAGATATGTCACTTATGTGATGTGACCTTGAACAAAAGCATACATCACTTTGAGATTGTTTTATCGTTTGTACAAAGAGCAATACCACCCAAGTCATAGTTACCTTATAAGAGGCAAATATAAAATTACTTTAGAAATTGTAAATTACAATATAGATATGCTATTGTTTTTTAACAAGTGAGAAACTAAAAGCTAAGAAAGGTAAATAATTTTAATATCTATAATTTTATAGTATATCATTTAATCTAGCATTATTTTCTCCCCCTCCCCCCTCCTCCTCTCCCTCC